AAAGTAGAGTACAGGAAAGTAAAGTAGAGTGGAGTGGAGTGGAGTGGAGTGGAGTAGTGTAGAGTAGAGTAAAGTAAAGTAGAGTACAGGAAAGTAAAGTAGAGTGGAGTAGTGTAGTGCAGAGTAAAGTAGAGTGGAGTTGAGTGGAGTGGAGTGGAGTAGAGTAGTGTAGTGTAGAGTAGAGTAAAGTAAAGTAGAGTACAGGAAAGTAAAGTAGAGTGGAGTAGAGTAGTGTAGAGTAAAGTAAAGTTGAGTAGAGTAGTGTAGTGCAGAGTAGAGTAAAGTTGAGTAGAGTACAGGACCCAACAATCAACCAAGGCGACACAATCATATAAATAAAAATCTATATTATTACATAACACAATAACAACTATATGTGTGTGTGTGTGTGTGTGTGTGTGTGTGTGTGTTTTAATACCTGTACATTTGTATAAATATATATACAACAACTTAATATAATCAAGTAAAATATTTGGTCTACCAGACTGGTAGATAATATATACAAGTTAGCTTTATGTGGATGTGATGACAAGACAGTTTTGGTTAGTCCTTTATTTCAGCATAGGAATATCTTTATCTGTTGATAGGGAGTATATACTTGGCAGAAATACCTTGAAGGTAAAATAAGAAGAGATGCTACACACTAACATATTACATTCATACATAAGTCCGTATATTATAATTCCTTGGTATAGCCGTTCTCCTGCAGCACGTCCACCACCTTCCCTGCCAGCTCCCGCACCGAGGCATTAGAGGCGGGCAATGCTACCAACTTCCTCAGGACGTCGTCCACTCCCTCGCGCACCAACATGTGACAGTAACGTTTGCCTGCAATACAATATTTACACTTGAACTAAAAATAGTTACATTTCACAGCACATCAGGAATATGCCTGTACAGTATTCTCCACTACCCAAACCAATGTATAGAACAGTACTGCATTTTAGGACAATTAATTTCTGTTTTCAAAAGGTTTGTAAAGACAATAAAAAATATTTAATCAATATGAAAAGAAAGTTGGTCCCACAGGTATGATGGCCCATTGGAGACCGATGACCACTTTTTTAAACACTTGGGTTACTTATTAGTAACCCGAAAGTGCCCTCCGAGCCATAATCCATATTTTTAAACCAAATTTTGTTGGGTTACCATTTGGTAGTCCGACATATTATTGGAAAGTTCGGGATAAGTCCTCGGGTGTGGGTAGGCACCCGAAAGACTTATCCCTAATGTTCAAACTAGTTATATATGAATAGAAAACGTCTCTGAAATATAATATACAGTGAACCCTCGCTTTACACATTTCGTTTCTACATTTACACATTTCATTTCTACATTTACGCGGTACCCTGCCAGAACCGGAATTCCCACTTTACGCGGTGCATCTACTCATATACTCGGGTGAAGTATAATCTTTTTATTTAGCTCATAAAATTCATACAAATTACCCGGCCAGAATATAATTTACATTGCTGATATTCTTACAATTTGATGATCATTTTGAATATAAGCATCATAGATTTTGCATTAGACATACAAATTTTAGATCTAATGCAAGTATTTTGTTTACTCAGAGCAAATATGTTATCTTTTGTGCAAAATATATGACGTGTATATTCAAAATATTCCTGGTCTTGCAAGGAATCCAGTAATGTCAATTATATTATCCTAACTTTAGTCTGAGGTATTATTTACTACTAAAAAGGTAAATATTCTGTTTTCTCCCAAACATTTCTCTGGTAGGAAGGGAAGGTGAGGGGTGGGGGGGAGGGAGGGACCGACCGACCCAGCTGGCGTGGTGGGAATTGGGGGAGGCAAGGTGGGGTATTTTGATTGACAGATAATGTCGTGAAGAATATTTTTTTTTTTTTATTAACTGAAGATATTTGTTTTAGCTCATAAAATTCATACAAATTACAGGGCCAGAATATAATTTCCATTGCTGGAATTCATACAATTTGATGATCATTTTGAATATAAACATCATAGATTTTGCATTAGACATACAAATTTTAGATCTAATGTAAGTATTTTGTTTACTCTGGGTAAATATGTTATCTTTTGTGCAAAATATATGACATTTATATTCAAAATATTAACCTAACTTTAGTTTGAGGTATTATTTATTACTATACCTTAAAATCTAGTGTTTTCCCCCAAACATTTCTCAGACAGGGAAGAGCCAGCGAGTGTGAGAAGAGGGGGAGGGAGTTGAGTCCATTATTTGAATAGACATTAACTTGGCGACTGTATTTCTCCATTTCTCTTAAATATTAATTGTGTGCATGTACCATCATAAAATTAAGATGTTATTTTTACTAGAACATGGGTATTGTGTCGGAAAATGTGGAGTTTGGGGGTCGGCCGGTCTCTATTTCAATTAATCCCATATGTTATGTTGTTCACTTTACGCGTTTCTCGCTTTACGCGGGCCTCCGTGGGTTCAATTGACCGCGTAAATTGAGGGTTCACTATGCAAATTAAGATGAGATAATAAAGAAAACATATATTTAAATGTCCTAATAACCGGTTCCAATGGAAATGTATATATATTTAAGAGACCGCCGTGTACCCCCGTGATGTTTTACCTTCAACGCCAAAGATTTTTCAACTCCCCATCGCCCTTCTCCAATTTTATCAAGCATTGCATTCCTACAATCATCCTCTTATAGCTTCAAATATGTTAAAAAACACACTTCTCTTTGTGATAGATAAATGTAATGCCATTTCCAATTCGCCAATATATTATATCGGAAAGATATAAGATGAGCCAAATATAATAGGTAGGTTGCCGAGGTAATAGTTTACAAGTGTCATCTGTGACCCATGCTGATAGTTACCATGGAAGAAATTTTTCCTGCTATATTTCACTGTTTGGGTTGTTGTTCCGGTTGTGTTTAGGTACTACCAATATTTGTAAGTTTAGATTAGGTTATGTAAAATATTTTTTTAGATGAAATGTTCGAACTCGGTGTTAGAAATAAGTGCCAAAATTGATTAATGATGTTTTCAATCACTCGATTAGAGTCGTATCAGTCCCATCTTACATCACCGGAACAACAATAAACAAAAGTTAAATATACCATGGACAAATTTCTTAAAGAAATTCTCTGTAATAGCTATGCAACACGCTTGTAAACTATTATCAAAAGTAATTTATCTTATATACAGTAGTTACCGCAATATATAGATAATAGATATTAGATTTTGTTTTATTTTTTCAGGCTGGCATTATAGCATTCTGGTATTGTTATTAGAGACCACCAAAATCCTTTGGCTTATCTCTCTGAGGAGGAGTTCATCAAGAGGTATAGAGTATCCAAGGAATGCATCCATTAACTTCCTGAACGAGTTGAGCCACATATGCCAAGAGTTCAAGGAGGACGAGGCAAGAAATTATGGTGTTACTATTGTGTGCGGTCTATAAGATAACTGGGTTAAGTTAGCTTAGGTTAGATTAGGTTAGGTTAGGTTAGGTTAGGTCAGGTTAGGTCAGGTTAGGTCATGTTAGGTTAGGTTAGGTCATGTTATGTTAGGCTAGGTCAGATTAGGTTAGGTAAAGTTTGGTTAGGTTAGACTAAATATATTGTTGTAGACCGAAACTCTAAATCTTGGATTTTGGTCTTTGTTTAGAAGTGTATTGGGGATTTATTCAATGTTATGCAGTGATGCAAAAGGGGGGCATCACTACTATACAGTACAGTACTCAATTCCCATGAAACCCCTAAGCCCACCTCCCATGTACAATAATACCACCACAAATAAAACCGTACTCATTCTTGATGCATTTTATTCATTCTATTTTATTCTCCTATGTCAGTTGATATTAACACTGCAGCGGGGCTTTCTCGGATGGGTCCCACTGGTCGGGCAGGTTGTGGACCCCAGGGCCGACCTGATCGTCATCAAGCTACTGGGGCCTCAACTGACGCCACCGCGGTTGCTGGAGGATCGGCTTTTTTCACACTTCATTTTTCCAACATTCGTGGACTGAGATCCAATTTTTCTTCTGTGGAGCACCATCTATTGACCTCTTCCCCCGATCTCTTACTACTCTCTGAACTTCAACTGACCAAAGCAGCTTCACCCAAACCTTTTCAAGTCTCTAACTACAACCTTTATACCTACTTCCGTTCTAAGGGAGGTGTATGCGCCTACTGCAATACACGTACACCTATAGCCCGACTCACGGATCTTGAATCTCCCCTTTATGATGTCATCTGGCTCAAAATATCTCTACCTACTGTGACTATTTTTCTTTGTTTCCTATACTGTTCTCCCAACTCTACCAACTATTTCGAACTCTTTGACCATCTCACTTCTTGCCATGAGTCGTTGCTATCACAGAGTGGGGCTTGGCTCTGCAAGGGATGACCCAGGTGGAGCTGAGGCACTCTCTTTTTCTTTACTTAATGATTTGGAACAAATAATCAAATACCCTACACGCGTTCCTGATCGACACGATCAATTTGCTAACATTCTTGATCTTTGTTTTACCTCTAACCCCTCACACTATTCATACTCAATTTCTGCCCCCTGAGGGGTCTTCTGATCACAACCTTATTTCTATTAAATCAAGCTGGGCACGACCACCTCCCCCACCCCCCTCTAAATGTCAACTATGGCACTATCGGAGGGCAAGCTGGCAATCCTTGCGAGAATTCTTCACCGACTCTCCTTGGGATGAATGTTGCTCTTCCACTCGAGAGGCCTTGGTATGTGCTGACAGCATTGCTGGAGTTATACAGAGTGGTATGAGTGCATTTATCCCATCTTCTACCAAAACTTTCACATTACAATCATGGTTTAATCGTTCCTGCTCTCTTGCTTGCAGGGTGAGAGATAGGGCATATCGAGCTATGAAACTATCTCCTTCTCCTATTACCCACACCTCTTTCATTACTTCTAGGAATCGTTGTAAGGCTATTCTTCGTAGGGCCAAGCGGAATTTTATTAAAAGAAAGACCATTGTCCTGACTAATTCTTCCTCTAGTAAATCCTTCTGGTCCTTAACTAAAAACATCTGTAACAACTTCTGCACGCCTTCTTTTCCTCCCCTCTTCCATCCCAATAACTCTATAGCCAACTCTCCCCCTGACAAAGCCAACCTCTTTGGCATCTTATTCTCCTCTAATTCCACCTTAGACGATTCCCACTCTATCCCTCCTACCCCTGCACCTCCTACTTAACCTATGCACGTTCCTATAATCTCCACTCGCAGGGTTGCCGGTGTGTTATCCAGGTTGGATGTGATTAAGGCGCATGGACCGGACGGAATACCCCCTCGTGTTCTGAGGGAGTGTGCTGAAGCCCTGGCCCCTGTGAATGCTCGCCTCTTTCGCCTTTGCCTCAAAACCAAAACTTTTCCTTCTTCTTGGAAGCATGCCTTGGTTCAGCCCATCCCAAAGAAGGGTGACCATTCTAACCCCTCTAACTATCGCCCCATTGCCCTAACTTCATCCCTCTCCAAGATTTTCGAAACTATCTTGAACTCCCATTTTCTCCGTCACCTTGAACGCCTTTCTCTTTTGTCGGATCACCAGTATGGCTTTCGCCGTGCAAGATCTACTGGTGATCTGCTCTCCTATTGCACCCATCTTTGGTCATCCTCTCTTAGGGACTATGGGGAAACTTTTGTCGTGACCCTCGACATCTCCAAAGCATTTGACAGGGTATGGCACAAGTCTTTGCTATCTAAACTTCCCTCTTTTGGTTTCTCTCCCCCCACTTTGTTCTCTCATCTCTAGCTTCCTTGAGAACCGATCCATGGCAGTTGTTGTTGTTGATGGATCGATTTCTCGCTCTTTCTCTGCCAATAGTGGCATCCC